GGTGGCCCGCGAGCCGCAGTTTGCCAACCACTGGCCTAGAATATTCTGCCTCCATATATTCATGGGCTCCCTGACTCCCTTTCTTCACTGCTCAAATGTAACCTCATCCCAGAGCCCGGCACCAACCATCTGTATTAAACAGAGCAAACACACACCTACATGTACACATTCACACACTCACTCTTATCCACATCACTCACGCATGCACTTGCACACACATGCACGCTTGTTCACACTTGTGCACACACATACACACACCCCAGCAGTCTCTATCCCCCTTACCCTGTTCATCTTTCCATTGCACCAACTCCTGATACTGTAGTTGCCTGTGTTGTCATTGTCTTGCTGACTGTCCCACGATGGCAGCTCCAGGGGCAGGTTTTCTGTCTGTCTCAGCCACGGCCGCATCCCTGGCTCAAGAATGGCCCCTGCACACAGTAGGCACTCGCTGACCATGGAGAGAATGAGTGGACGAGTAAACAATAGTGGGCTTTGCTTCGAGGAGGCTGTGCCCGCTCCAGGGCTCTGGCCACCGGCTGACCCGGCCCCTCCCCCGCAGTCAGCCTTTGAGTCGGAGGTGTCTGAGATCAGCATCAGCCAGGGCGAGATTAACTTGGCCCTCAGGAACCTGCGGGCCTGGATGAAGGATGAGACCGTGCCCAAGAACCTGGTGAGCGGGCCTGGGGTGGGGCAGGCACGGGTGGGGGGGTTTCCGGGTGGGGGGCTTCTCCTGGGGCAGCCCCTGGGGAGGGGAGGGTGGTCCTGAGGGGCTGGAGTCTCAGGCCTTCACCCCTCACCGCCACGCTGGCCCCGGCACAGGCCACCCAGCTGGACTCCGCCTTCATCCGGAAGGAGCCCTTCGGCCTGGTGCTCATCATCGCCCCCTGGAACTACCCCCTGAACCTGACCCTGGTGCCCCTGGTGGGCGCCCTCGCAGCAGGTGAGAGCCCAGCCTCCACCTTCCACCCGGCCCCTCCCTCGTGGCCTCCTGGGGCCCACAGAGCTAGGGAGGAGCGGTGGCACCAGGTGGCTAAGGAAGTCTGGCTGGCATGAGGCTCACCATCCCCAGGCTGCCGGGCCTTGTGTCTGCCATGTCACCTCTCTGAGCCAGATTCTTCACCTGAAGGTAGAGTGAGGCCAACACCTGTCCTGCAGGTGTGAGGAGTGAATGGAGACCTGGCATGGCTCCCCCTCGCCCACCTCTGGCCCTGCCCTGTCCTGCCCCGCAGGGAACTGCGTGGTTCTGAAGCCCTCGGAGTTCAGCAAAAACACCGAGAGGGTCCTGGTCGAGGTGCTGCCCCGATATCTGGACCGGGTGAGCAGAGCAGGCGGGCCCCATTGGCTGGGCAGGACCCAGTTCCAACCTCACTCCTGCCTCCTGTGGGTCGAGTGCCCATGGCCAAGTCACCACCCCTCTCAGCCCGAGTTTCCCTCCTAGTGACAGAGAGGGGTGGCAACCACGGCGGTGCTCTGAGTAGCCTATCTCCTGGGGGTCCCTACACCCCCAACCGTGGCCTCAGCCTTCCCACCAGCCCTGCCAGGCCCCTCTCCCCACCTCACCTCACCCCCATGAAGCTCACCTAGCCTTGGCAGTCCTGGTCAGGTCAGGCCCGGAGGGAGCAGTCCCGGGCTGGGTCCCAGGGGGAGCCTTCTGCCTGTCCCTCTTGCAGAGCTGCTTTGCCGTGGTGCTGGGCGGGCCCGAGGAGACAGGGCAGCTGCTGGAGCACAAGTTCGACTACATCTTCTTCACGGGTGAGGAGCCTGCTGCAGGTGGCTGGGGCAGGATGGAGGGTGGGGGCCTGCACCTAGCCCCACCTTGAGGGGTCTTGCCCCCAACCCTGAGAGAGGCCACAAGTACCAAGCCAGATGGACAGCCAGAACTCAGAGGGTCAAGTGCCCAGCGGTGCCCGTGGCCTGCAGGACAAGCTTGCTCCTCTCTCCTGGAGGAGGCTGGGAGCAGCCCTGGACCTGGGGACCCTCAGGAGGACTGGGACCCCTCCCCTGGGCACAGACCTCTAGATTCGGTGCCCAGCCTGGATCACCCACTGGCCAGGATTGGACTATGGAAGCAGAGGGACCAGGGTCCTCAGATGTCCCTGCCGATTTTGGGGGGTGGGAGGAACAGAAAGAGGCAGCCGGAAGGGTGCCAACCCAACCTCCACCATCATGGCACACAGCTCGATGGGCTTCGGGCGTTGGCCGCCAGGACGGAGGGTACAGAGGCAGGCAGACCCGAGGCTGGCTCCAGGCCAGGTCCCCAGGGCAGCCGGCACAGAGGCTTACAGACCAGCCAAGCCCACTCTGCCAGGCCTTTGTGTTCCTACGTGTAGACTGGAACCATCCCCAAGTCACCGGCTTGTCTAGAGGACACACGCACCCCAAGGGCACGGGTGGGGAGGCCTTAGTGGAATTCAACAAGGGGAGGTTGTGGGGTCAGGAGTCCTCAGAGACAAGGAGATGTTTGCAAAGACAGAGGAGCTGAGGGAGAAGCCTGCGGAGGGAGCAGGAGCCAAGAGCAGAGCAGGGGCTGAGTTTTGGGCAGTGGGGCCAGGGCCAACCCCACAGAAAGGCAGCGGGGGCCCTGGGCCAGGTGTGGGTGGGAGAGGCCCAAGGCTGGGGTGTGCGTCAGGTCAGGGGAGGCTGAGAGGAGGAGGACACTGTGAGACCCGGGAGATCACCCCAGAGGAGAGGTCGGGACAAGCCAGGAGTGGAGGGAGGAGTGGGTGCTGAAGGCGGCAAGGCTGCCAGGTCAACTCAGAGAGACCCAAATGTCCGCAGCTGTAGCTGGGCTCCGGCCTCGGCCGATAGGAGTCACCAAGGGTTGAGGGGTGTTTTATTTTGTTTTAAATATATTTTCATTGATTTCAGAGAGGAAGGGAGAGGGAGAAAGAGATGGAAACATCAATGATGAGAATCATTGATCGGCTGCCTCCTGCACACCCCCTACTGGGGATTAAGCCCACAAGAGCAACCCGGGCATGTGTCCCTGACTGGAATTGAACCCAGGACCCTTCAGTCTGCAGGCCGACACTCTATCCACCGAGCCAAACCAGCTAAGGCGGGTTGAGGGTTCTAGAGGAGCATGGAGAAGTGGTGAGGAGTGCAAGGCAGTGTGTGAAAGAGACACCTGCAGGGGGATCAGGAATCAGAAGCGGGGAGGGGAGGAGGGGGGAGGTGGCATGCAGAAGGTCCTGCTTGTGCAGTGAATGGCAAGGGAAGGCCAAATGAGGCCTGGCAGCCCCCGGACTCAACCCCCTGTCCAGGGAGACAGGGCAGGAAGTGAACCCCCCTTGAGGGATCCCAGTCCCCAAACCGAGGCCATCCCACCGGGTCCAGGTGAATGAAGGTCACTCGGGGTTTTTTTCACACACAGGGAGCCCTCGAGTGGGCAAGATTGTCATGGCCGCAGCCGCCAAGCACCTGACGCCCGTCACGCTGGAGCTGGGGGGCAAGAACCCCTGCTACGTGGACGACAACTGCGACGCCCAGACCGTGGCCAACCGAGTGGCCTTGTTTCGCTACTTCAATGCTGGCCAGACCTGCGTGGCCCCCGACTACGTCCTGTGCAGCCCCGAAATGCAGGAGCGGCTGGTGCCCGCCCTGCAGAGCGCCATCACCCGCTTCTATGGCGAGGACCCCAGGGCCTCCCCAGACCTGGGCCGCATCATCAGTGAGAAGCATTTCCAGCGGCTCCGGGGCCTGCTGGGCTGTGGCCGCGTGGCCATCGGGGGCCAGAGTGAGGAGAGCGACCGCTACATCGGTGAGTCCCGCTCTCCCAGCCCCGGGACCCCGGCTAAGGCCCTCCCTCGCTGGAGGCCACAGCTGGGCCGAGTCTGGGCCCCGAGGTTCCCAGGGCCACACTGATGGAGCCCAGCCGGGTCCACGGCTCTGGTGCCACGATTCCCAGACACTAACGCCACAGGTCGCCATGGTCCGAGCCTGTGACCCCGTGACCCTGCTTCTCGGAGCTGGGCCCAGTGTCCAGGCTCCCGAACACGCAGATCCCCAGCTTCAGCCCCAGCACCTGCTGCTCAACAGCCGTGACCCCGGGTCCTGTGGGCCCTCGATTCCCGGCCTGTGCACCCGCTGGGCTGTCCTTACAAAGCAGCCCCGGCCTCTGGGCCCCCCGACTCGGTGACGCTGCTGCTCCCACCGGCTGGGACCTGGGACCTTGGGCTGAGATCTTCGGGCCCATCCTGCCCATCGTGACCGTGAGGAGCCTGGACGAGGCCATCGACTTCATCAACCGCCGGGAGAAGCCCCTGGCCCTGTACACCTTCTCCAACAGCAGCCAGGTGGGCCCGGGCAGGGCTAGACAGGTGGGCCCGGTGCCAGCAGCGGACCAAGGAACCCGGAGGGAGGCCGGAGTTCTGGCCCCTCTGGCACTCACAGGAGTTCCTGGTTGGAGGCAATCTTGGTTCTGTCTCTGCCTTTTCCCTCGGGAGCAGCCACAGCCCTCCCCTGCTTCTAGGCCACGCTCTCCAGCGTCTGGGGCCCCCCTCGGTCAGCCCTGCCTCCATCTCGGCCTGGTGGCTGGTGTCCCTTCTCAGTGCCCAGCTCATGGAAGGCGCACACATGGGCAGGAGTGGGGAGGGTGAAGGACCAGAACACATAGGCCAAGAATGGGCCCTGGTCCCCGCTCCTGGCCCCTCACCTCTCACCACAGCTTTGCTCAAGCCCCTGGGGCCGCCCCAGCGCCTCAAGGGTAGCACCCCCAGTTCAGAGCACACTTCCCTCCTCAACCAGCTCTCATGAGACCCCTTGCAGACTCGACAATGCTTTTTAAAATAAGCTCTTTATTTTGGAATAACTAGATTTACAGAAAAGTCACAAGGATGGCCCAGGGACCATGTACCACACGCCCAATTCCCCGGTGAAGGGCCCGGATATTGGTCAAAACTACGGGGCGGACATTGCGCATCACAGTTAACTCGACTCCACACTTGATTCAGATTCGCCAGTTTTTCTTTCTGCCTCAGGATCCAAGCCGGTCTCGGCGTGTGTAGCTGTCCAGGCTCCTCTGGCCTGGAGACCCGCCCATCCTGTTTTTCTCCACCTCCTTCCTTTCCGGGTCTACAAGGGGCCTCCGGCTCACCTCCTAATTTATCCACCAGCCCTAGTCAGCGGCTCCTCCAGGAGCCCTGGTTTATCAGGATTATGTTCACATAAGAAAGAGCCATACGGGGTTTTGGGAATGGGGGTCACCTGGCAAGAGGCTTTCAAGCTTCTGACTCCCCAGGCCTGGTCCCAGGATGCAGGGGCCCTTAAGACACTCGACTCCCCCAGATGACTTACTCTTACTCCTCTCGAAGCACTGACGTCCCCCCGCTCCACCCTCTGGTCTCAACTGACCTCTGAGCCCACTGATGGGGGGTCCACTCTGCCCACCACTGACGAGCCTGACCCAGCGTCACTTGAGGGTCACACACTGGAACGGAATATAATGACAATTAGGGACTATTAACCTGTTCCCTCTTATTCTTCAAATAAGCCTACAAAGTGAAGAGGAAAGGGCTTCCTAAAGTCAAGCAAAGGCCAAGTTCATGTTTCTAAAATACCAATCTGGTCACGTGACTGTGTCTGACCTCCCTGTGCCGCACATCACAGCGTCCCCAACCCCCGCTTCCCTGTCCCTCAGCCTCCCCCCCTTGCCCCGCACGCCTGTGGGGGGACCTTTCTCCTCTTTCTCGTCTCTGCCTGAATGACTTCTGCCCCGCCTTGAGACACCGAAAGGCACATCACATCCCTCTCCTGGGGCACCTCCCTGACTACCTGGCACCTCCCTGAACTCTGCATGTCCCCAGGCAAACGCTGGGTTCCCACCTCCCCCTGGGGCCTGAGCGTGTCCCCAGCACCCTTCACACCAGAGCAGATGCTCGGAAACATGCCCTGAGTTGGGAGTGTGGTGGCAGGCTGCTGACCAATGCCCTCCACTGGTCCCACCACCACCGTCGGCTCACGTGGTGGCCTCAGGCCCTTCCTGGGGCCCTAAGGGGCTGGACAGAGACCCTGGGACGGGGGTAGGGGCGCGGCAGGCTGGCCTCCTGCTGCCCAGCCACTCCGCCTTACTGCTGCTTGTTTCCAGGTGGTCAAGCAGGTGCTGGCCCGGACCAGCAGCGGGGGCTTCTGTGGGAACGATGGCTTCATGCACCTGATCCTCGCCAGCCTGCCTTTTGGAGGAGTGGGTAGGTGCTGGCAGTGCCCTGCATTCTTCCCTCACTGGACTGATGGCACCAGAACCTTCCAGACCTGCCTCTGCATCGACATGTGTGTGGGGGTCTGTCTGGGAGTGAATCTGATCCTACCACTTACTCCCAGTGAAAACCTCCCACAGCTCCCAGGCCCCTCAGGATCAAGCCAGGCCCCTGCTGGCCACTGAGGTCCTGCCCCCGCCTCCTCTCCGGCTCCCCTGCCTGCTGCCCTGGCCACACTGGGCTCTGCCAGGTCCTAACATGCCATAGGTCAAACACCCAGTCTCTTATGATGAGCCAGCCCACTTTACAGATGGGGAGACCAAGGCTTGCGGGGGGGGGGGAGCCCACCCAGGTCGCATTGCGTGATTGGCAGAGCCCACACCTGTCTTATGTCGCTTCAGCTGGCCACTGAGGGCCTGACTGCCGTGTTCTGTGCCCCTGTGCAGGGGCCAGCGGCATGGGCAGCTACCACGGCAAGTTCTCCTTCGACACCTTCTCCCACCACCGCGCCTGCCTGCTGCGCAGCCCTGGGATGGAGAAGATTTACTCCATCCGCTACCCACCCTACTCGTCACGCAACCTGAGGATGATGCTGGTGGCCATGGAGGCCCGGAGCTGCAGCTGCACCCTGCTCTGAGCCCACCGCGGGCACCGGGGTTCCAAGTCCCTCCTGGCAATGCCCGGGTCCTCCTGTCACTGTGGGTGGAGATGTGGCCTCGGGTCCAGGGCACAAGGATGAAAAGACCTGCCAGGGCCCCAGCCCAGCCCAGGGCCCTCAGCCTCCTCCTCAGCTGCCCCCAAACTAGGATGGCCACCTGCGTCCAGGAGAGGGCAGACATGGGCACCTGTGAGCCACACCCTTCCCGTGGAGGGTGCAGCAGGAGGGAAGGCGACATCTGGTCCAGGCCCCATCGGGGACCTGTTGCGACCCGGACGTCCCTGTCCCGAGTGGATCCCTTCCCCCCCCCCCCCCCCTGTACAGTGGAGAGGACTAATGATCAGCATCTCAGATGCTGCGAGATTACATCTGGGAGCTTAATAAACACGAGCTGCTGACCCCGAGCTCCAGACCTCCTGTCTCCTGGTGGACGTGGGGTGCAGCCGCCTCCCTCTTCGCTCCCCATCTCTCCCTCCAGCTCAGGCTCTCGGAACTCTGAACACACTCCTGTCCCCCCAGTGGCCTGCCCGGGGCACCTTACCATGTCCCACCCCGGGCTCATCCTACTCCCTGTCCTGCTCATCCTTCTGGGCCCGGAGGCCATGGAATGGTCCCCCACACACTCGGCCACAAAGCCCAACTCCCCCAGCCTCCGGCTCGGCACCCCCTTTCATCTCCCGAGCCCCACCTCTCGGCGAGCCCCGAGGATTCTGTGACACCACACAGCTTCCCGGACCCACACATTAACCACTGCGCTCAGGACCGCCCCTAACCCAGCCTCCCCGCCGGGCCCCGCGGCTCCCCAGCTCACCCACAGCTCTTCCCAGAGCGCCTGGAGCCCACCAGCCCGCGGCCTGAACCCCGCAAACCTGGCTGGAAGCTCCGCCATGGCCCCGGGCCCGCACCCGTGGCCTGTCCGGTCCTTTCGGGAGGACACACGCCGGGATGCTCTCTGCCCCCGGTGGCCGGCTCAGCTCCCACCCGCATTCAGCTACAACAGCGTCTCCTCCAAAGCCCCCCCAACCCCCTGCCCCCCGCTCCCAGACACAGGAGGCCTCAGGGCCGCCTCCGCGTCCGCAGCCTCCGGTGTCGCCTGCCACAACCGTCCCCGAAGGAAACGCAGGTTTGGTGGCTGGGGAGGGCGGGCTCCCGAGTCATTAGACGACTCGGTTCAGGGAGCCGCACTTCGCAGGTCTAGGGCGTGGGCAAACTTAGCAAGCCCGTGCCTCAGCCCCCATTGGTAAAGCGATCATAACCGTCCCAGGGCTTTGTAAGAAGTAACGCCGCCTGGGTGAAGTCCCGCACGGAACCACCGCCACCAGCGATCCTCACCACCTTCATCACACATCCCGCCGCGGAGGCCGGCCCCGAGCCGCTCCCTAAACCACGCCCCGGATGTCCCGCCCCCAGCGTCTCGGAGTCCTCGCTTATTGGCCTCTTCGATACAACATGGCGGCGCTCAACGTAACTTCAAGCGCCTGCTCCTCGATAGCCAATCAGAGGAAAGATATTTCTGCATCCCGCCTCCTTCGGTTGCGCCACTGGCCAATCAGACCACAGCATGGATAGTCGGCGCGGAGACGGTGAAACCAGCCGGTCCAATGGCAGCATCCAGAAGGTAGGCTCCGCCTCTCGGCGAGCAGGCCTCTCGGTAGGGGAAGGAGTGGCAGCGCTTCAAGGTGGGTGTCTGGGGCTCCGCTGTTAAGGCCGGGCTTGGGCAGCGCGACGTTGGCAGCGAGTGTGGCGCCTCTGTTGGTCTTGCGGGCTCTGCCCCTGGGCCTCAGCTCGGCCCGCACAGACCCGCCGTCCCCGTGCCCTTGAGCGTGCGGGAGAGGGACCTGGAAGTTGGCATCCTCGGGGCGCATGCGCTGCTGGTGTCCTTGGGGTCAGAGGTCATAGGGAAGGTCGGAGGAGATGGTCGGGTGCCTTACCCTGAAGTCAGTGGTCAAAAAAAATGGACCGGTTGCAAGTCGCAGGTCGCGGGAGGGGCAGGCTTGATCTCCCGCTAAGTACCCTGCTCTGGGCTAGACCCTTGGCTTGTAGGAACTCCCTCCGTTCTTACGACCTCCCCCCCTACCACCATTTCTCATATGAGGAAACGGGCCTGCTGACCCCACCTGCCCAGGGTCACTTGACCGTCTGAGACAGTTCCAGAAGGGCCTTGGCGCTGGGGAAGGAATTCCATCTTGAGGGTGCGGTGACCTCGCCGTCCGGCTGGTGGCCGCTGGCCGTGTTTGCGTCTGCGTTGGGAGGATGAGCAGGAGGGAGAGTTGGGAGGTAGAAGCAGGAGCACTGGTGCGGGAGGGAGGAGAGATGGATTTTAAGGTTTCTTAGGTGAGAAGATAGAACTTGAGCTCTGTCTCACGCTGAGCTGTTGTGTTGGGCTGAGAGGTGCTCTCCCCAGGGACAGGAAGGCCACCTGTGCCTCTGACAGGAGTGGGTTCAGTAGGAGACAAGATGACACCGAGGCTCTGAGGTCAAGGGTAGGTCTCCTGCAGAGCCTGAGTTCCTGGAGGGCCAGGTCTGGGACCCACCACACCTCCCTCCCTTTCCGCACCCACAGATGCACTGCCTGACGACGCCCTTGGTGTTTCGGGCCCTGGCCCAGGCTGTTCGTGCAGGTAGGACCAGGTGAGCCTTTCCCGGGTGCGGGGAGCCCAGCGTCCTGGCCTGAGGTCGCAGCCGCACAGCAAAGCCCCTTTTCTTGCAGGGCCTCCCAGTGCCCGGAGCCTCCACAGCAGCGCAGTGGCTGCCACCTACAGTGAGTCCCACGGGCCTTCCTGACCATGGTCCTGCCAGGCAGGGGAGGAGACCTGGTTTGCAGCGTCTCCCCCTCTCCCAGCCTCCGCTTCCACTCTGTAAAATGAGGAGGATCAAGATGGTGTATACCCATGGGAACGGTCTCGTTGCAGGGGGTGGGGGCCTTCCCTCAGCTGCCGGGTGATCTCAGAGCTCCCCGGTGGAGGGCTGGGTGCCTGTGTCTCTTCATCGGGACCCCAACACCTGAGCCCCTCCCCATAGCCCTCACTCCTGGGCTCAGATGGCCACACAGGCACAGGCCAGAGGCCCGGTTTGGGAAGGTTTGGTGAATGAACAAGGGCCTGGAGCTGCTGTACCTGCCAGAGGGGTGGGGCCTCATCTCCCTGAGCTGCATTCGTGGCGGGGGCGGTGAGGCTGTGAGAACCACTGCCACAGGCCTTCCTGCCGGTTTCCCCTGCAGAGTACGTGAACTTGCGAGAGCCCTCGATGGACATGAAGTCAGTGACTGACAGGGCAGCTCAAACCCTTCTGTGGACTGAACTCGTCCGAGGTGGGCCCTTGGGGGAGGGCCAGACGGGCTAGAGGGGGACCCAGTGGTCAGGGACGAGGGCCTCACCTACCGTGCCCATGCTGCCCACAGGACTGGGCATGACCCTGAGCTACCTTTTCCGGGAGCCAGCCACCATCAACTACCCCTTTGAGAAGGGCCCGCTGAGCCCACGCTTCCGTGGGGAGCATGCGCTGCGCCGTTACCCGTCCGGGGAGGAGCGCTGCATCGCCTGCAAGCTGTGCGAGGCTGTCTGCCCGGCCCAGGTGAGCCCCGGACCTCACTGACAGCCACCTGGCCCCTGTCTGGGGAGAGGGAGGTCGAAGCCTGTTGCTGAGAGGGAAGCTGAGAACTCTGGCCGCTGCCGGGAAACTCCCTGTCCCTCTCTGAGCCACTTCCCACTGTGAGTGGGAACCAGGAGGCCTTGTCGCTGGGGCCAGCTCAGAGCCGGTGAGGCACTGAGTCAGCGGGGTGAGCTGCCAGCCTGAGCAGACCACATGACACCAGGCGCCGCCCTGGGAGGTCCGGTCAGGGCTGTGACTCCCAGGCCTGTGAGCCACAGGGTGGCACCCGAGGGTCTCCATTCTCCCAGCACAGCAGCAGTGTCAGGAGCCCTGCTTCTGCCTGTCACAGGACCAGACCCAGGGACACACAAACCACAGTCGGGGTTGTCACTGTCCCTGGTCACTGCTCCCCTGAGCCCCAGTGTTCGGTTCAATTGGAGGGTCCCTTGTGGGCCGCCCGAAGTCAGGGCCTGGTAGTGTAGAAACAGACCAGTCGTGGCAGACAGACCATGGCATGCCCAGCAGGAGCCCCGGCAGGCACAGCGACCCCCTCTCAGGGGCTGCTCCAGGACCACGTGTCCACCCAGGACGGCTCCTTTCTGAGTCCGGGCATGTCTTCTGGGCTGTTCCCCGGCCCTCCGGGCCACAGGCTGTGGCCTGATGTCTCAGTCCAGCCACCAAAACGTGACAGTAATGCTCCCAGGGAGCGAGCCGCCCGCGAGCCAGGCCCTGTGCCAGGCTCTTGTCTTTATAGCAGCTCTGGGAAGTAGAGTTGTTATCCCCGTTTTTAAACGTGTTTTTATTGATTTTTAGAGAGAGGAAGAGAGAGAGAAACATCAACAGGCTGCCTCCTACCACCGCCTACTGAGGATTGAGCCTGTAACCCAGGCATGTGCCCTGACCAGGAATCAAACCAGTGACTTTTTGGTGCACGGATGACGCCCAACCGAGCCACACTGGCCGGAGCTATCCCCATTTTTATAGACGAGGAAACTAAGGCACAGAGAGATGAGGCTACCAGCACAGGTCCCACTGTGCGTGGCGGGCATGTGAGGGCTTTTGCCACAACGCTTTGAAGAGTCTCCTGGCTGTGGGGGCCTCAGCCCACCCACTTCCCCAGCTGGCACAGGCTGTGCCCAGGAGCTGAGAGTTACGGACTGGCCTTCGGGGCTGGGCTCTGCCCCTCACGTGCTGTGTGGCTCAGGGAAGAGCCTCTGTTCCCTGGTCCGTCATGGGGAAGCTGGATGGAAGTGGAGGGTTGTTCAGCGTACACCCCGGAGAACTGAGCAGCTCCGGGCTGCAGAAACAGCCAGTGACAGCCCTCCCCTCCTGGACTCGTGTCCTCAGGTTGACAAATAAACAAGGGAAGTGCCATCTGGGGAAACGCTAAGGAGAAGGTGATGTGACGGGCGGCCTGCGGGGGGAGGAGTCGGGTGGAATTGGGCTGAAAGTGGTGCTCTATGGGCCCCCAGGGGTGAGTGCCCAGAACCGGGCAGGCCTGTGCAGACTTGGGGTGGAAATGAGCAGCGAGGGGGGACCCTGTGCTCGGAGCTGGGGGAGACTGGCAGATGACAGCACCCTGAGCCACTCCCCAGGCCATCACCATCGAGGCTGAGCCGCGAGCCGATGGCAGCCGCCGGACCACTCGCTATGACATCGACATGACCAAGTGCATCTACTGCGGCTTCTGCCAGGAGGCCTGCCCTGTGGATGCCATCGTCGAGGTGAGTGGGCCCTGGGGTGGGGGAGGCTGGGGCGGAAGCTCCTTGGAGAGCCCTGACATGGCCGCCTGCACCCCCACCCGCAGGGCCCCAACTTTGAGTTCTCCACGGAGACGCACGAGGAGCTGCTGTACAACAAGGAGAAGCTGCTGAACAACGGGGACAAGTGGGAGGCCGAGATCGCCGCCAACATCCAGGCCGACTACCTCTACCGGTGACGCCGCCCAGCTGCCCCGGCCCCTGCTGCCAATAAAGAAGCTCTGACCCCCACCGCCTCTGTCATGTATCCGCTGTCCACGCCGGGATGGCCGCAGCCTGTGGACTCTCCCGGTCCCCCGGTGGGCCCCGCTGAGCCAGCCCAGCCTTCCCGGGGGACTCTGGGACCCATCAGGCCCTCCTTGGGGCTCCAGCCCACAGCAGCCCTGTTGGCCACACATCTTTTCAGGCACTTTCTCCAGGGCTCGGCAGGCCACAGTCAGCTCCAGTTCCATGATCCTGGGTGCCCACAGGCTAGGTCCTGAGCCTGCCCTCTCCTGAGGGCTCCCCACAACTAAGGCCCTGGCACGTAGAGCCTCCCAAGGTCTCAGGCAGAAGCACGTCAATGGCAGAAACTCAAATGCCAGGTCATTCTTTCTGGTCCGAGGGAAGCCTGCTCGGGGTGACGGTCACGGGATGGTGACACAGGCGCTGCTGACCTTGAGCCGGCCTTGCCTCACTCCAGCCACATCCCCTTTTCTTGCCAAGCTCCCCAGACCAGGCTGCTGGCGTGGCTTCTGCTCAGGACTTCCTGCTTTACAACCCAGCTGTGGTGTGGTTCCTCTGGGAAGCAGCCCAGTGCCAGCGGAAGAGTCAGAACGAGCTTCCTGGGAGTTGGTGCTGAGCACTGAGAGGATTTCTGTGTGTTCTCAGTGGGGAAGCTGGCGCAGAGAGACAGCGATTGCTCAGAATCACGGCCTGTATCCAATGAACAAACTCACTCGGTCTGACTCGGTCCCCCTTCGCCATCACTTCCAGGTTATAAACACTCACTTCCCAGGATGCTTCTTGGAGAGAAGTGGGAGGGGCTTCCATGGGTCACCAAGTCTCCCCTTCACTCGGACAAGCACTGCATGTTAACGCAGTCAAGGCTCTGAGAAGGCCTGCAGCAAAGAAACACAGCCTTTCCCCAGCTCACGCCCAGGGATGCCCTTTTCCCAGATCACTGCTGACCCCTGGGCCAAGCTGGACCCCAACACTGGCCAAGGCTTTTGGGCCCCCACAGCCCAAGGAACAGCACAGGAATGAAAAGTGTAGGCTCCAAAGGGAACCCAGAGCCCAGGACGTGCCTGGGAGTCCACCCCACTGGTCCTGGTGGCAAAGCGCTTGCAAAGGGGCCATCGCAAAAGGGGCTTAAAAGTCCCAAATCACTTTCCCCAGGCAACCAGCATTAGAGAATGGGCGTGGAGCCTGTGTGGGCACACAGATAGATACTCTTAGTAACGGGTCACTGGTCTTTCCCTTAGTAACACGTTTTCCTGGGTCAGGACTGCAGCTCTGACGCCCTTTTGCACCTGGCAGGGTGGACCTGAGACCCCTCCCACACACACTGGGGCTGTTTGGCTGTGTTGAGGGTTCCCTCTGGGAACAACCCTATAATGCTCCAAACATCCCCCACTTTCCTTGGGCGCTGACCTTGGCTGTGACTCAGTTTCCAGCCCTGGTTCTGGGGTTCCATTTGCTCACTCCTACCCCACAGTGTGACTTTCAAGGATCACCATAGCTGAGGGGCCCTGGGCCCCAGTGGAAATGGTCCTGGTTTGTCCAAAGTGCAGGCAGCTGGGTAGCTGTGAGCCCCAGTTCAGTGCTGGGACACGATGAACCCCCTGGAGTTGAGTCAGCCAGGTCCCTGGGGCACCCCGGCGGCCCGTGGAGCACTGCCCAGCACATGCTGGGTGCGGGCCGAGTGGAATACAATCTTTCTGGCCCTCCGTGTCCTGCCGTCATGGAGGAAAGAGGCCCAGAGAGGGCAGCCATCCGCCCTGGGGCACAGAGCGCTTATCTGGGTGGTCACGGGCAGGAAGGTGTAAGGGCCAGGTGTAACTGAGGCCTCACTAAGAAGGCGGGGAGTGTGCTGGGCTTGGACCCCAGGCCTGAGGGTGTGGGGGTCCCACCAGCCATAGGCCCAGCGAGCCCTCTGGGTGGTGGGGAGCTCATTCTCTAGCCCCCAAGCTGGGCCTGGGCTCAGCACCTCCCCCAGTCGGGCCGCGTAGACAAGCCTGGTCGGCGGTGGTCAGTGTCTCCGCTCGGGTCTCAGGGCCTCCACGCCCCACCCCGACAATTGTTTTCCAGCCTCTGGCGAGAAACCGGAGCCGAGCGCGCCCCAGCCCGGGAGCCTGGGGTGGGGACTGGGGCGGGAATTAACTGGCCCCGCCCCTCTCGGTTCCGTCCCGCCCAGGAAAGTGAGTTGCGTTGGCGCCGAGGCGGGTATCGCAGAGCCGGGAACACAGAAGGAACGGAGCCCGAGCGGCGCTGGGGCGCCGAGCAGAGCCGGGGTGAGTGCCGGGGGTGCGTGCTCACGCCGGGTGAGGCCTTGCCGGGGGCCACAGGGGCGACTAGAAGGAGGAGGAGGAGGAAGAGGATGGGGTGTTAACAGCTCCTAAGGACTGAGCCCAGCTCTGCCAGGCCTGGTGGCACTCAGAGTTTTTCTCGGCTGCATCTTCCTCCGAGGGAGCGACCCATTTTACAGACGAGGAAACTGAGACCCTCCTGAGTAGGAAGAAACAAAGCTAGAGGCAAGTGGGGTCATTCTGACTCCAGAGCCCAGCGTTCTGGAATGGAGGAGGCGGCTGACCTTCTCCAGCCCAGCTCATCATCGTGTGCCAGGGCTCAGAGGGGAGATCTGGCCTCAGCCTCCGGCCTCCCGGGGGACCAGGAACAGAGGAGGGCAGAGTGAGGAGCGCCCTAGACTCTGAAGGTCACAGGACAGAGGCATCTTCCTTTGCTCCTTATACAGGACTGGGGTGGCCCCTGGCTCTGGCAGGGGCCAAGGAAGAGGGGTAGGTTGTGGGCCAGGGAAGGGTCTAGCTAGGTTTCTACGTACCCCTGCCCACCACAGCTGGTCCCACCCATGGAAATGCCCAGGCCTGAGGCCCCCGGGAGTCAGGGCCGCCAGGCTGTATTTGCCACAGCGGATGCTCAGGGCTGCCGCGTCCCATGGGTCCCCAGCCTGGCCTCCTACAGTGCCCTCTTCCTTCAAAAGTGCCGTTCCGTTTAAATGAGAGAGAATGGGTGAGGGCATTACCAGGTCCTGTCTCTGCTGGGGGTGGCCAAGTCCTATTTACCCAAAGAGGAAGTGGAGGCTCAGAGAGGATAAGAGACTCCCTCAAAGCCACACAGCCAATCACAGCTTGGGCAGGGCTCCTGACCCCCAGGGAGTGGAATCCAGCCCCTTCCACACACCCCTCCCTGTCCAGGTCCCAGAGCTTCTGCCGCCTTCGGCTGCCTCCAGGCAATCTCTCCTCTCCCCGGCTGGACGGGTTGCATTCCCTATTTAGACTTAAGTAAACCAGGCCCTGAGGGAGGAAGTGCCCAGAGGAGCAGGCGAGGCACTTTGGCACCAAACTTTCACCCGCAGCGGGGCCTTCACTGGCGGCGTTTGTCCCATCTCCCCCAGTTTGAGAGCTAAGCAAACTGAGTCCCCCAGGAGGGGAAGTGGCTGGTCCTGGGTCCCAGAGCCGTGCCATGGAGCCCTGGCTTGTGGGCGGGGGCATCCGCAGGCCCGTTGGAGGCCACCAGGGCCCTCCCCCTGCGGACGATTGAGCAAGGCCCCGCCAGACCTTCCGGCTCGTTTTAAAGTTCGCACAGTTTCACTTTCAAGGGTTTCAACACCTGGAAGGCTGCTCCCGCCCGGACCCACAATGGCTGCTGCCAGGCAGCCCAGGCCTCGGCAAGATCCCCCATTCATGAGTGTCCCCCTCTGCCCTCACTGAGCCCCTGGGAACCTAGTGGCGATGCCCATCCCTCAACACAGACGTCGCAGGGAGCGGGAGGCTCCAGCTGCCTGTGGAGACAGGCCCGAACTTCGCCGGCTGCCGGCTGTCTTAGATGCTCCCTGTCCCGGGGCAGAAAGACAAGGACTAGTGACCAGTGAGGTCTGTGGCCCTGGGTACCCAGAGCAGTGGCCATGGGACCCCAGGATGAGTAGGGTCCAGGGTGAGGGCAGGTCACAGACGAGGGACAGTGGGAGCAGAGGCCAGTGTCACCAGGAGCCATCAGGGGTGGAGGGAAGGGGTCTGGGATAAGGCAGAGCCAAGCTAGGAAAGGGCTTGAAGTTGGGCTGTGGGTCAGGATGCGGGGTCACTACATCTGGGCCAGGCTGCTTCCCATGTGACTGCAGCACCCCATCGAGCCTTCCTGGGCCTCCGTTTCCCCATCTGTCATGTGGGCGTGGTAACAGGACCTTCTAGGATGATGTGAGCTGAGGTATACAGAATGCCGACCTGTGGCCTGCCCCTGACGGAGCCCCCACCCCCTGCCCGTCCCACAGGACCATGGGCTCCATGTTCCGGAGTGAGGAGGTGTCGCTGGCCCAGCTCTTCCTGCCCACGGCTGCTGCCTACACCTGTGTGAGCCAGCTGGGTGAACTGGGCCTCGTGGAGTTCAGAGATGTGAGTGGGCTGGAGGGTGTGGGAAGGACCCAGCTGTTGGACCTCCTCCCCTCCGCATGGCACAGCCCTGCTGGCACCCCTCGGCCTCGGCCGTAGACACTCTGCTCCCAGCTGAGGCACCCTGGCCCGGCCCGAGTCCAGCCCGACCTGCTTGGCTCTCCCATGCCCTCCTTGGCATGTGGGGTCTGGCCTGCCTCCAGCTGGGCACCTGGAGGTTCACGGTGTGCATGGCACCTTCTGGGGGGAGGCAGCTACACCCTGAGGAGAGCCGGGCCTGGGGGTGGGGCCCTCCCGCTCCCCCCCCACCCCCCCGAAAAACTGACTCCACATCACAACCACAGCTTAACGCCTCAGTGAGTGCCTTCCAGAGACGCTTTGTGGTGGATGTTCGGCGCTGTGAGGAGCTGGAGAAGACCTTCAGTGAGTTGGCCCCAGGCCCACATCCCAGGCAGGCTTCCTGGAGGAGGAGCTTGGTATGAAAGGGAGAGTCGGGGTCACCCAGGTGAAAGACAGAGAAGAGGGAGGTCCAGGCTGGGCCCTGCAGAGCCAGGAGAGGGCAGCCGGCACTGTGGGAATGGTCCCCACAGATCTTGGGAGCGGACCCCCCATTCTTGGGAGCAGAGGGCGGAGGCCAGGGGAAACGTCCTTGAATTCTGTGTGAGAGCCCAGGAATTTGTCCTTTGGGGCCACCGTGGTTTCTAAGTGTGAGCAGAATTTTCTCTGCGGCAAATGGACTGGGGTGGGCAGAGGCCAGGATCTGGGCTCAGGTGCCCAGGAGCAGCTCCTTCTTTGTCCTGGGCAAGAGGGACCTCGGTGCTGGTGCCTCTCTGCCCCCTCCCCCCCCGGGGGAGCCTGTGGGGGGAGGCCGAGCACACTGTACTGGTGTGACAGCTTGGTGATAGCTTATAAGTACCCAGGCCGGTTCTGTGCGGCCTCCAGGCAAGCTCATGTCCCGGGTCCCGCAATGCCAGGGCCAGTCTTCCTAGAAGGCCACTGTGGGAGCCAGTCCCTGGCTGGGCATAGTCTCATGAGCTCAGGGGGAGCCTAGCAGACCTGTGGCAATGGAGGTGTGCCCTGGGGTTTTCCTGGGGGTCTCGGACTCAATGAATCAGTTTGAGGGTGGCCAGTGGAGTTTGGGGCTGCATGTGGGATCCCCTAGACCAGTGGTCCGCAAACTGCGGCTCGTGAGCCACATGTGGCTCTTTGACCCCTTGAGTGTGGCTCTTCCACAAAATACCACGTGTGGGCGCGCACGTACAGTGCGATTGAAACTTCGGACGTTTTTAGCAAAGGCCAGCTTACGAGTACCCTAATTAAGTTAATAACAATGTACCTACCTATATAGCTTAAGTTTAAAAAATTTGTCTCTCAAAAGAAATTTCTATCATTGTACTGTTGATATTTGGCTCTGTTGACTAATGAGTTTGCCGACCACTGGCCTAGACATTAACCAGCCCTTGGCTAATAGAGGCCATTAGCTGGGGGGGCTCCTCTGTGGCCGGTCTCTCCTGACGCCCATCCCTCTGCACCCAGCCTTCCTGCAGGAGGAGGTGCGGCGGGCTGGGCTGGCCCTGCCCCCACCAGAGGGCGGGCTGCCGGCGCCCCCACCCCGCGACCTGCTGCGTATCCAGGAGGAGTCGGATCGCCTGGCACAGGAGCTCCGGGACGTGCGGGGCAACGAGCAGGCCCTGCGGGCCCAGCTGCACAAGTTGCAGCTCCACGCGGCCGTGCTGGGCCAGGGCCAGGGCCCCGCGGTCAGTTCTAGCTCGGGCAGGTGCACGGGGAGGGGAGGGGTGCCAGGCCCCATTTGGACCCTGGCTCACTGTGCCTCTCCACTCCTAGTTGGCAGCCACCCACACGGATGGATCCTCGGAAAGGACCCCCCTGCTCCAGCCCCCCAAGGGGCCCCACCAGGACCTGAGGGTCAAGTAAGTGAGGGGCAGCTTCACGCTCTTTCCTGCCCCACGGAGGCCCTGAGAGATGGGGCTGGGCCAGGACTCCTGGTCCAGGTCTCTCCCTCACCCTCCTCCCTCAGGCCTGGGATTTTTCTTGCTCGGGGGATTTCTCCTGTTCTGCCCTTGCCTGATGGGGTCTTGCCTTCTCCCTGGAGGCAGGGCCAGTGTGCCTGGTTGGCCCCCACGGGCAGGGCCTGGCCTCAGGGTGGCCTAGCCAGGGCGATGCAGGGGGAGGTAGGAGCCGCTCCACTCAGCCCTGCCTGGCCGGCAGCTTTGTGGCAGGCGCCGTGGAACCCCACAAGGCCGCCGCCCTGGAGCGCCTGCTCTGGAGGGCCTGCCGTGGCTTCCTCATCGCCAGCTTCAGGGAGACAGAGCAGCAGCTGGAGGACCCGGTGACGGTGAGCGATGGGGGGACACAGGGCTGGGGTCAGGTGTTTGGCAGAGCCAGGACTTCAGGGTAAATTGGGCCCCTCTCCGGCAGGGCGAGCCAGCCACGTGGATGACCTTCCTCATCTCCTACTGGGGCGAGCAGATCGGGCAGAAGATCCGCAAGATCACTGACTGGTGAGCCCTCCGGGGGGCTGGCCACCCGATGCTCTTGTGCCATGGCCCTGCCTCCAGGGGTCACTGTAGAGTGAACACACCACAGGCTGCCGGTGCCTAGTCGGTGCTCACAGGGACAGACCCCTGCTGCCCCTGCACTGCCCTGTGAGCTCCCCCTGCCTCCAGCCCCTGCACAGCCTAGAATCATGTCACCTGTCCTCCCTGCCAGCTTCCACTGTCACGTCTTCCCG